TTTTTTTTTTGGTTTTTCTCCTGTACCAGGAACCGAACTCACGACTTTGCGCTTGCCAGGCAGGCGCTTTGCCACTGAGCTAAATCCCCAGCCCCTATATTTCTCTATTATTTTCTCACTATATTAGGTGGGGTTTTTTAGTACCAGGAATTGAACTCAGAACCTTCTGCTTGCCAGCCAGCCGCTGTGCTGCTGAGCTACATCCCCGGCCCCACTATATTAGGAATTGAACCTGGGGTCTTTTGCATGCTGCCTGGTAAAGCAGTCTACGCTAAGCTTCCCTTCAGCTCCCCCCCCCCCCCCCCCCCGTCTTTTTGGACAGGGTTTTATCGGAGTAGGAAAATGTATTGGAGAAAAGGAACAAAGGAATAGGAACAGCTCGTGAGACAGGAGAGGTCTTGAAGGGTTGCTGGGACAGGGTTTTGCTGTGCAGTTCAGGCTGGCCTTGAACTCACTCCGTAGGCTAGGGTGGTCTCAACCTAGCAGCGATCCTCCTGCCTTGCCCAGCCCAGCTCTTCTTCCTTGGGAAGATCATGTCTTCCCAAGGTGCCCAGGCTAGCTTCAAACTTTATTTTTTAAATTACATTTATTGGTACATTTGAGGTACACATAATGATCACAGTCATCATAGGGAATTTGTACCTGTCCTAGCCTCAAACTTCAAAGCTTCCTGCCTCACTCAGCCTCCCAAGTAGCTAGGATTCTAGGTATGCAGCCTCTACTCTGCAATTTTTGATGAGAATAATTATTTCATGCTTTGGATGAGACTGACATTGATGTGATGCTGATGGAAAGGACGTAACGCATTATAATTGAGTTTTGTGCATACGGAACTCAGTTGCACGATGTAGCCAGGTGCTGTCAGAGCTGCATCATGGAGTCTCTACCTGAGTCACTTCGCGTGAAGTGCTAGAGACCCAACCCAGACTTTTCATCGGTGCGGGGCTTTTGCACATCACGTTTCACGACTGTCTTGGAGTTAAAGCCCCATCCTTCGTCACTGTTTGCTCATAGCTGGCATCCACATGGATTGTCAGCCTTGTTCTCCTTACTGTGTTTCAGGCTATGCCCACCCTAATAGAATTAATGAAAGACCCCAGCGTGGTCGTCCGAGACACAACTGCGTGGACGGTGGGCAGAATTTGCGAGCTGCTCCCTGAAGCCGCTATTAACGACGTCTACTTGGCGCCCCTGCTGCAGTGTCTGATTGAGGGGCTCAGTGCCGAGCCCCGGGTGGCTTCCAACGTGTGCTGGGTGAGGGATTCTGTTCCCGGTGACATGGGAGCGTGGCTGAGCCGTTGGCAGGAGAGTAGGCAGTGTGGGAGAGCGGTGGATGTGCTTTCCTGGAAGGCTTTTTCTGAATACTGTTGGCTTTCTAATTCTTGGACTGAAACGGGGGGAGATGCCAGTTGCAGGCGCCTGTGGGGGCCGCTCCCTCCCGGTGCCTGGTTCTGAAGCACTTAGAGCAGCCGTGGTAACCCAGCAGGGAGATTTTTCTTCCTTGAGTTGCTTAGGGACACAGTTTTGATTAAGGTGAAGTCGTTGGCCGCAAGAAGTGCCACTGCAGAGAAGAGGGTGGGAGGGAAGGAACGTAGGTGGCCTAGCCGCTGGGCCGGTGTGGGCTGCATGGAAGCCGAGCAGAAGGAGGGACAGTGACAGGCACTGGTGCTAGGCACGGTGCGCTGCTGCTCAGGCTTGCAGATTGCCAGGCTGTACAAACACAGCATGAGGGAATAAAGGTGCCTATCAAATGTTTTCTTGAGTACCTTGGCCAAGAAAAGCTGGGCCCTTTCCTAGCATTGATTTGTAGGCTCGTTGCAGAAGAACACTGTTGAGTGTTGGATGTAACTTAGGGAGAAATGAGGTGACCCTCAGGCGGTTCTCGCGGGACTAATGCTAATCTGTGTGCATTTCAGGCTTTCTCCAGTTTGGCTGAAGCTGCTTATGAAGCTGCTGATGTAGCTGATGATCAAGAAGAACCAGCCACCTATTGCTTGTCGTCTTCATTTGAACTCATAGTTCAGAAGCTCCTGGAGACCACAGACAGGTACGCGGCACCTGTGGGAGCGAGGGAGGGCTTCCTCCAGCTACCCTCAGGACAGAAACGCAGCGGGATGGGCTGGGCCTTTGTCCGTCCCGTAGGAATTAAAGGGGAACTTTCTGGAGATTTACTATTTGTCTAAATAAAGGGGAGGTGGAAAAATAAGTGGAGACTGTGTCTCGTCTAGCGTTGTGTGGTTTACCATGAAAACCTAAGTCTCTTTGCTAGAGAGTGGGTGATTGTGGAGCGTTGTGTTCAGTTTGCTGCACTGATTAATCAGAGCGCGAGTTTGACTGTGGTGTAAAGAGTAGCGGCCCCTTCAGGAAGGGTGCAGCTGCCACCAAGTCAGCAGCTGTCATTGGTGACGCTGGGTGAAGAACTGAGTGTTCACATAGTTGATGTAGAAAGGGACTGTGACTTGGGGGCACCCTTTAATCATTGCTGTTTGTTGTGACCTCAAGTGAAGCTGTGAGCGAAGTGAACTTCGAGAAAGGCAGGAGCATCAAGTCTCCATGCTGAGCTAAGTCATCCTCGCTCTGTTGAGGAGTCTGTATAGACATCTCTTGCAGATCTGTGAGGAAAGTTGGTCTGTCTACCTCATAGTCACTGTGTGAATCAGCTTTTTGTTCCTGTGACTAAGGACCTAAAAAAACACAGAAGAGGAAAGATATGTGTTTGGCTTCCAGGTTCAGGGGTTTCGGTCCATGATTGGTGGCTCCTTGCTTTGGGGCCTGTGAAAAGGCAGAAACACCTCACCTCATGGCCAGGAAGCAGGGAGTATCGCTTCTCGGCCTTTTGGCTAAGATCAAGTGTAGGAAGCAGGGAGTAAGAGCCTGAGAGGAGGGGGTTAGGGGTCAGTCCCTGGGTCACCCCCATCCACTCCCTTCAGCCAGGCTCTGCCCCCTGTTTGCGTCACTTCGCAGTCACGCCAAAACACTGTGGATTGACCTGCTGGTAAAGTTAAAACCCTGGTGATCTGGGGGCCTCTCTAGGCCCTGCCTATGCACTTCTTTGCACTGGGATCAAACCCTCAGTGAATGAGTCTTTGGGGAATGTTTGTATTTAAGCCATGACAACGACCTGGCAACCACTTGACATGTCCACATGGTCCTTTGCCACTTAACCCATTTCCGCCCTGTAATTTTAGCATTTTCCCCAGGGGGTCATTCTGAACTTTAACCCGTTTGGGAGGCCATCATAATCATAGCCATTGGCTCACAGGACTCTTTTTTTTGTTTTTTTGGGGGGGTTTTTTTTGTCTTTTTTTGAGATAGGGTCTTACTATGCAGTTTAGGCTGGCCTTGAGCTCACTTTGTATCCCAGGTTGGCCTCGAACTTGCAGGGGTCCTCCTGCCTCAGCCTCGAGAGTGCTGGGATTACAGGCGTGCACTACCACACCTGGCTCATAGGACTTTTAGAATTTGGTTTCTTAGATATTGTATTGCCAGACTCAAACCAGGTACACGGTCTTGTTAGTTTTTGGTTTCCTTATCTTAGAAGGGGAAAAAAATCCACACTGTAGCAACATTTCCATCCTTTGTTGTCAGTCCAGGCAGTTCAGGCTTAAAGGTTTTTGCCAAACGTTCCTTACAGACCCGACGGACACCAGAACAACCTGAGGAGTTCTGCGTATGAGTCGCTCATGGAAATTGTGAAGAACAGTGCCAAGGACTGCTACCCTGCAGTCCAGAAAACGACTCTGGTCATCATGGAGCGGCTGCAGCAGGTGCTTCAGATGGAGGTAAGACGTGAGCACTGTCTGCTGGAGGATGGCAGTCCTGTGGCAGAGCTGTCCCTTCAGGGCTACGACCTTTTATTTCGGTGTTTACGTGTATATTTCCTCAGAAAGTTACATGTGAGAAGCACAACTTTGAGCAAGGCCCTGTGTTGGTTTTTGGTTTGTACCAAACCAAACAAACCATTGTCTCGGGGTGTGGTGGAGCACACCTGTAATCCCAGCACTTGGGAGGCAGAGGCAGAAGGATTGTCATGGGCTGAAGTCCAGCCTGGGGAATGGGCTATGGCCTCAGCTCCAGCCTTGTAGTATCTCCAAGTGAGACACCCTGACTTGGAGAAGAAAGAAACAAAAATTATTGCCAGGCTGGGGATATAGCTCAGTGGCATAAGCACCTGCCTGGCAAGCACGAGGTTGTGAGTTTGATCCCCGGTACTGCAAAAAAAGAAAAGAAAAGAAAAGAAACACCATTGTCACTTAATGTTTGTGTTGCTTGTCACGTTTACTCATGCCTGTTACACTTGTCATGTTTACTCATGCCTGTGTGTGTGTTCACTTTCCTACACTGGCATTAGTAAAGGTTTTAACGTCCCTGGGAACCCCAGCAAAAGTGGAAGGTTTCATGAGAACATGCCATTTTCTTTTCTTGCAGTCACATATCCAGAGTACATCTGACAGGATCCAGTTTAATGACCTTCAGTCTTTACTCTGTGCAACGCTTCAGGTATGCCGGGCCCTTGACACTTCTTAGCTGTCCGTTTGCGTGTGACGAGCTGGGGCACCTGGGTGTGGGTGACGCTGACTGGGAGAGGCCTTTCTCACCTTGGTTCCGTGTGCCCAGAAAGCCCAGTGTGTCCCTTCAGTGGCAGGAAGGAAGCCCCTCTATAGAGAACCCTTCCCGGTTCTCGTCACGGCCCAGGAAGTTAATATTTGTAATCCCATGGACAAGTTACTAGAATTCTAGGGAGTTCATTCCAATCTACCACTTCCAATGCAACCCATGGCGAGAAATAAGACACTAAAGCATATTTGTAGTTGTGGAGAGCCAGGGGGTCCTGAGTCCAGTTGCAAGGATGGCTAACCAAGCAAAGGCTGAACCCGGGTTTTATTAATTTGTGAAGAAGGGAGTGGCTTGAGGATGAGTGACTGTGAGAATGATGGGAAGTAGGTGAGTGCCGTGAGCTGGGCTAGGTAGGAGACCTGAAATCCCCTCTGCACATGCAGAGAGAAGGATCTGCAGAAAGAGTAATCTGCATGACACAACTGAGATAGAGTCAGTGTTCTGGGGTCAGTGCTTCAGCTCTGATGTGTGATCTTTTATGCCCAGGGAAGTCATAGCCTCTGTCTGGAGGCCCGGTCCCAGCTGACAGCGTGGAGCACACTGCACATGGCTCTCTATCCCACCCCGGCTCACACGGTTCATTTGGGAGCTAAGGGGCCGGGGAAGCACTGCTGTGTCCTCTTTGCTTCATAGACGACACATCAGCACCTCGACCAATGTGCATTGCTTAAAACCAATTGAAAGGATAAGAAAAAGTCCCAGCTAGCTGTGCACACTTCAGTATATGGAAATAGGGCCAGGCTCAGCCAAAATGGGGACAACAGCGCCTCCTTCAAGGAGAGTTGCACAGGTGGCCCACACCCTTGGCACGCTGGTCCCTCCAGCTGGACGGCCAGTCCAGCTGGCAGCCTTTAGTCTTGCTTGTGTGAGGTTGTCCAAGCCTGGGTCAGATTTGGTTCCCAGCTGTGGCTCCCTTGGATGAAAATACAGCCTGAGCTTCTGCCATCATCTTTTAAGACATTTGCTGTCAGGAGCTTTAATATTATTACAGCATGCACAGTGCCTCGTGTTCACAGCAGAGTCCTTTTCAAAGAGAGACTAGGGAAAAAGGAAAAAAAAAATGGCTCTCAGCGTAGGAAGTGGCTGTGGAGCTGTTCCCTTTGCTAGCAGAGGACAAGAGGAAAACTCGGGAACTTACTGCCTGAAGCTTAAATAGGTGTTCAGTTTTAATATTCAGTGATCTAACTGGGGCGTCTTACCTCTGAACTCCCCGCCACACTTCATTTTTAAAAGCATGAATGTTAAGAGCCTCACGTCTCACCACATAAAATGTAGGAGCAATTCAGTGACAGGAGCTGAAGCGAACAAACAAAAGGAAGAGGAGGGTGATGGGTGAGGATGTGTGGGCTCGGAGGGAACCAGGTTGGCTTCATTTTACCAAGACCATTTCCGAACAGGTGTGGTCACACAGCTGTGATCCCAGCTGCTAGGAGGCTGAAGCTGGAGGATCACAAGTTGGAGGCCACCCTGAACAACATAGCCAGAGTTTGTCTAAAATAAAAAGGGGTTGAGCCAGGCATGGTGGCGCAGCCCTGTAATCCCAGCACTCGGGAGGCTGAGGCAGGAGGATCGTTGCGAGTTCTAGACCAGCCCCGGCTACAAAGAGCTCAAGGCCAGCCTGAACTACACAGTGAGACCTTGTCTCAAAAAGACAAAAACAAAAAGAGAGGGGCCTAGGAGTTTAGCTCAATGGTAGAGGGCCCTCCCCAGTGCTATACACAAAAACACCAAAAGCATACTTTCTGGACTATTGCCTATAAATGGGTCAGGATGTAAGAAAGGTTGCTTTAGATGTGCTTTGTAAGATTCCTAAAATGACCTCTTTTAATGCTGAAATAATTGAAATCACTCTTCTAAGACCAGGGTACAGCAGTTACTGACAGTTTTGTCCGACAGACACAAATGCCAAAGAGGAGATGGCTCTGCTCCAGGGAGGATTAGATCATGTTTTATTGTAGTTTGTGCCTTTCCAGCGACTTCATTGACTTCGGAAGAACAGGTGCAGTGTTTAGATTGGAGGGTCTGGAATTAATAGCTGCCAAACCCTTGTTCCTCTCACAGAATGTTCTGCGGAAGGTACAGCACCAGGATGCCCTGCAGATTTCCGACGTGGTCATGGCCTCCCTCCTGAGGATGTTCCAGAGCACCGCTGGCTCCGGGGGTGTGCAAGAGGATGCCCTGATGGCCGTCAGCACGCTGGTGGAAGGTCGGTGGCAGGGCAGGGCAGGAGAGGGGAAGGGATGCCGGGGCGGGTGTAGTCAGGGCCTTGAAAGTGTCTGCGGAAAATGGTTCTTCACTGGGTTCTTCGCTGGGTCATGAGTCGGTTCGTAGCCAGATCAAGCTTAATCCTAATGAAAAAAAAGGGGGGGCACTGGGGATTTAGCTCAACAGCACAGCGCCTGCCTGGCAAGCGCAAGGTTTTTGGGGGAGACTTACCTAATTTGTGTTCCTTCAAAATCTTTCCATTAAACTCAACTTGTTTTAGTGAGCTTTGACTCCTATCAAGAATGGAGGAGGCAAGTTTCTGGGTCTCTTCTGCCACCCAGCGCTTCCTGGTTTGGTTGTAGCTTGGGACTCGGGTTACCTGATGCATCGTCGTGCTTATGTGGGGTGTAATGCAGCCTCGAGTGATTTCTAGGCATTCAGCGAATTTCTGATGGTTCCATGTCTGGCTGGATAGGGGGGCATGTGTGACTTATACTCCGTAAAGGGCCGCTCAGCACATGGTGGAGCACTTAAGAAGCCTGCAGTGCTTCTTCAGGAGGACTTAGGAGCATGTTACTGAAGCCACTCCCTAAGGACGCCCTCCTGAGGACCATAAAAAGTGTGTGGCCAGTGGGCCTGACAGCCTGTAACCACCTGGAAAGGACGAGGAAGTTAATTCTGGGGTGGCTGTGGGGCCTGCTGAACCCTATGGGAGGAACTGCCTGGGGCCCTCAGGCAGAGCTAGAAACATTATAACCGGAGAGGTGGGGACCAGAGGCTTATTCTAGGCTCAGTCAGCTCGGAATTCACCCTGACGTTCCTTCGGGCCATACTGCGCTTTAGCTGAAATGACCTTCCATCCTGGGGAGGGTTGGTAGTGCCGGGCATGAGAAGCGGGTCCTCCCAGTAGTTAGAAACTTGGCTTGCACAAGACAGCGTTCACGTTCCGTGGTGCAGACCGCGGCCGAGTCCTGTGGAATGAACATCCTGTCTCGGAATGAATACGTTTTGGGGAGATTAGGATGGTTATTGGGCTCATTTCTGATGTTCTGTGTTTCTGTCAGCAGTTAATAGTTTGTTTCATTACAGTCTTGGGTGGTGAATTCCTTAAGTATATGGATGCCTTTAAACCCTTCCTGGGCATTGGATTGAAGAATTATGCCGAGTACCAGGTAGGGTGTGCTTGTCAAAAGAATCTGTTTGGTTTCCGGGGTGCTGGGAATCAGCACTGAGCTACGCCCCAGGCCTCAGTAGATTCTCATCCCTGATTGATCGTAACTCTGGCACAAAGACAGGTGCTGCTGGCACCCTGAAAACCAGAGCCCTCTTTAAACCGCCACCCCAGGGCTGGGGATTTAGTTCAGCGGCACAGCACTTGCCTGGCAAGCGCGAGGTTGTCAGTTTGATTCCCGGTACTGGAAAAAGAAATAAATAAACTGCCACCCTACTTCTGCCCAGCTGTCCCCGGGGAATACTGTGCAGCCTTGGTGATATTTCCAGTGGTCTTAGTTCCCTTCTGCCCTATTGGTGGTTAAAATTAACTGCTCTCAGCTGTGGGTGGGTGGGGACATCACTCATTCTGGGTTCAGGTGGTAAAGTGGCCGGGTAAAAGCCACACCTACCCCAGCAGGCAGTCTTTTCTGTGTGGGGATGACGGCTTGGTCCCTTGCAGGTTTGTTTGGCAGCTGTGGGCTTGGTGGGAGACCTGTGTCGGGCTCTCCAGTCCAACATCTTACCTTTCTGTGACGAGGTGATGCAGCTGCTACTGGAAAACTTGGGGGTGAGTGTCTCAGGCTGCTACCGAGCCAGGCGTCCGGAACCATCATGGAGAGCTACAAGTTCCCAGAATGTTGACTGGGGGCTTCCAAAGGAGAGAATTGTTTATTTTCATATATTCTACAGTTCATGAAGTCGTGTAAAGGACTGTGCTCTTATTTGCGGGGGAAAGAAAGTTCAAAGGAAAGGAAAATATTTCATCTCACTATCCAACAGTAGCCATTAATTTTTGTGTACATGCAAAGTTTCTGGAGTCTCTGGACCAAGTGGATTTTTTGACACTTACTAATTCACTGTTTTTATTCTTGCCAGAATGAGAATGTCCACAGGTCTGTGAAGCCGCAGATTCTGTCGGTGTTTGGTGATATTGCCCTTGCGATCGGTGGAGAGTTTAAAAAATACCTAGAGGTTGTGTTGAATACTCTGCAGCAGGCCTCCCAAGCCCAGGTGGACAAGGTAAGGTCGGTGCTGTTACGCTACTCTTGAAGTCCAGCTCTCACGGGAGAAGAAGGACTTTGGGCCAACAAAGCCCTGCAGGTGACGGGTGTGACAGAGGTTTGCTGTGCTGTCTCTTTCAGTCGGACTATGACATGGTGGATTATCTCAACGAGCTCAGAGAAGGCTGCTTGGAAGCTTACACCGGCATTGTGCAGGGACTGAAGGGAGACCAGGAGAATGTGCACCGTGAGTATCCGGCCCATGCCCCTAGTCCCTGGCCACTGTGCATGTGAACTGCCGCTCAGGAGAGGAGGGAGGCAGGGTCCTCATGAAGCGAGTAGTGTGGGCAAGGTGTAGGTTGTCATGTTTCTGTGCTTTGTCCTCCTGCCTCAGCCTCCCCAGTGCTAGAATTGCATAGGCATGTACCACTACACCTGGCTGTCTCCCATTGCTTTGTTTCTTCCTTGAGATAGGGTCTTCCTTTGTAGTTGAAGTTGGCCTCGAATTCCTAGTGATCCTCCTGCCTTGGCCTCCTGAGTACTGGGATTACAGGCGTCCACCACCCCACCTGGCTATCTTGAATTTCTTGAGCATTGCAGAAAACGGGATCCAGCTAGGCTGTTTAGAAAAAAACGTAGCAAAAGTGCTGATCGCTTTTGTACCAACCACAGTAGCAGTTGTTGAGCGACCCGCCCCCGCAGTGTTGCTGTTACTAGTGGGGGAGATACTTGTACTTTACCTCCTGATCACGGAGGGCTCAGGGAGAGAGTTCCATTTGTTCCCTTGCTGCAGTATCTGCTTATATAAGAGGAATATTTGTTTCTTGTACTGACTTGAAGAACGACATCCTAATCTGAGGAAGAATAGTTTGGTGTCCGCCGGGGGAACCCTGGTGACGGATAGAGTAGTAGAAGATTCTGAGAACAGGTATGGTCCTGCAAAATACGGGACAGCTTCGTTACCCCTTCTCCTTCTTCTGTAGCGGATGTGATGCTGGTACAGCCAAGAGTAGAATTTATTCTATCTTTCATTGACCACATTGCTGGAGACGAGGATCACACAGATGGAGTAGTAGCCTGCGCTGCTGGCCTCATAGGGTAAGCTACACCTGCTTCCAGTGGCTGAACAGAGCTCGATATTCAGGGAAGGTGAGAAGGGCGCAGGGCGGCACACATGGCATCACCAGCCTACTTCTGTGGCAGGTGGTAGTGGTACTAGGGCTTGAACCCCGGGCCTTACGTATGCTAGGCAAGTGCTCTCCCATTGTGCTACCCTCCAGGCCCGGAGATGTCCTTCTAGAGCCCATAGAGTCACGTTGTGGGTACTATTGAGTGAAGGGTGATTCCTTCCAACCTGCAGAGCTTGCCACTCTCCCCACTAGACCCCGACGTTGGGCAACAAGTTGCATCTGTTCAGTGGTGCTCTATTTGAGCATTTCTAGAAAAACACTGGTCTTCAGTTCAAAGACCTGGATGCTGGTTCTGATTTTTCTACTGTGAATTATTAGCTGGTTAACCTTGGGCAAGTCCTCGTGCCACTTCAGACCCAATTTATCTCTAAAATCCCCTCCACTTCTAAGAAGTAAGTGAATGCTAAGAAGTCTGTAGTGGCTCCTTGTTGCTTGGCAGGCTCCGAACAGGGTGCCGGTCAGGGTGGGCCAGGAGCTCATCCTCAGGTGTGTTGTTTGCACAGGGACTTATGTACCGCGTTCGGGAAGGATGTACTGAAATTAGTAGAAGCTAGGCCAATGATCCATGAACTGTTAACTGAAGGACGGAGATCGAAGACTAACAAAGCGAAAACCCTTGCGACATGGGCAACTAAAGAACTGAGGAAACTGAAGAACCAAGCTTGGTAAACGCTTGTCTCCACCGGCCTCTGTCCCGCTGTCTGGGGTGGGGAATGTTTTCCTTAGGCTCTTCCGCAAGGGCTGCCTTTGTGTGTTTTGTTTGTACTCTTTCCCGCGTAGGAGCTTCTGAGCCAGCCCTTTGTTCTAGTAGCAGTCTGACAGTCTCAGGCTTTCCTTAAGCCAAATGTTTGACTCCTCATGGTGATAGACCACAGAACTTACAAAGGCCAGGATGAAATTCCTGAAAGGTTTTGGGCCCCAGGAAGCCCCTTGGCAAAGGCATTCTCCCATAATCCTCTGCTGCGCTTCTGCTGTGTTTCCTGTGCCCCCCAGTAGGGGGAGCATCAAGGGTTGAACCCAGGGCTTTGCACTTGCCAAGTACTCTACCCTGAGCTATGCCTTTGGCCACTCTCTTCTGGTTTTGGGGGTTTTTTTGGTATGTGTCGGAGGTTGAACCCAGGTCCCTCACCGAGCTACATCCCCAGCTCTTCGTTTCATTTTCATTTGGAGACAGATTCTTGCTAAGTTGCCTATGCTGGCCCTCTCTTGCCTCAGGTCCCCGGGTGCAGGGGTTCCAGGCCTGCACCCCCTCAGCTGGCCTTGTCTCTTTACTACAGAGCTCATGGACATTGCTGAAGTCCTCCCTCTGGTGATAACCCTGTCTTGGTTGTCTAATCCCGGCTTTGGGACATAGTCGCCACCCGCCACCCCTGACTACTCTTAGGCTATAAGCGTCCCAGTAAAGCTGGCCATGGGAATTTTATTTGCTCCCCTACCATCTGGTGTGGATGCAGTGAGAGCAGATGGGTGGCACACAGGAAGTGCGGTTGGCCGATCCCGTTCAGGCCGGGGAACCCTAAGTTTTGCAGGAATTGGGTATTTGGGCTGTGCTGGGCCTGTGTGCTCTCAGAATTAACCTTTCTTCCTTGTCTGTTTCTAGATCTGGTACCATTGGGATGATAACCTGAGACCCCCACTGGAAATCTCCAATCTTTTGAAAAACCCGGAAGTGAGGAGTGTGCACGGATGCTGAGTGTTTGGGAGTGAGAGGATGAGTGAGTGAGGCTTGAAAACACACCACATTGAAAATCCTGCCGCAGCAGCCGCCGCAGCAGCCACCAGCAGCGCTGTTAGTGAGCTAAGTAAGCACTGACTTCTAGGAAACCCCGACGTCGGCCGTCTTGGAGGAGAGGAGCGATGGATCTGCTGGCTTGTTAAAGCTGTCTCTTCCCAGGGGAGGCTAGGACTAGCTTTTCTGTCTTGTGGCCGGTGCCGAGTGGAGTGGCTGGTTTGGGAGAAAAGGAGGGACTGGGCTCAGCTGTGGTGCTGTGTTGTAAAGGCAGCCTGGCCTGTGCTACTGAGGAGAAAGCGAGCCTGGGTCGAAAGCCCGCCTTCGCTGTCCCTTTGCTACGCGGTCCTGTCGCGTGCCTGGCAGGAGGCGGAGGGCGAGGGGCTTTGCGGTCTGAGAATGAGTGTGTGTGAGTGCAGCGGTATCCACATTCTCAACTTCAAGTCATTGCAGTTTCTTTTCCCCAGAAAACAAGGGTTAGATGTTGCATTTCATAAACTAACCGAAGTTCTGTCTACTGATGCAGCACAAGAGATGTTTAAAAAGAAAAAGGAAAGACGCTCTTTAGGTTTGGGTTTTGTTTTTTTTTTTTTTTTTTTTTTTTTTTAATTATTCTAGGGGAAACACTGACCAAGGGTCAGAACTCCTATCTGGTCTCTCCCTTAAGGCGCCTTTCCTGATAATATGGCTCAACTGTGAATGTAGAAGGGGGGAGGGGGGAGAAAGAGAACTCGAGTTAGAGGATAGAGAAAAATAAACATGCAGACTTCAAAGACAGAAAAGCCACAGCCCAAACCAAATTTTAAATGTGCAAAATTGGCAGCACAAAATCAGAGCTCTCTCCTGGCTTGTATTGTGGCAGTCTGAATGCCCCCCAGAACAATTGTGCCAAAGACTTTAGCAGACAGATACACAATAAAAGTAAATAGACACACAGAGCAGCCAACTTCAGGTAACTATTTTGGATTGCAAATGAGGATAAATTTAATGTGCAAACAATCTGATAAAATAACCATTTGGAAACTGCTTGGCCTTCTGTTCTCTTATTTGATTGACTACAATGTGGTATTGGTCTCTTGCTGCACTTTCAAAACCAACTAACCAACAAAACAAAAAGCAGAGCAAGGAGAACGTGTGCTTGTCTACACACGCTGACTAGAACTCTTTGCAATGAAATGGCGCTTGAAAAGGGTTCTGTTTTTCCACTGAAGTTGAAGATTAATAAAATGGTGTCAAACATTCCCCTACTCACACGCTTTAGTACTTTTGTAAAAGTGTGATGTGCTGTGATGATCATAAATCAGACCATTTCCCTTTTACAAGGGGAGCAGGGCACCCTGAATTCTAGAATCTCAGCAATAAGAAGGGATGGCAGTGAGCTTTGGTCCCCTTTGCGTTTTGCAGATACGAGGAGTTTTTTGCGTCTTGAATATGCTGCCTCAGAAAACACCAAGGAGGTTTTCAGTGGCTTCCTGGTTAATTGGAGGGTTGAAAACAGGACCTCATTCCCACTTTGGTCCCCATCGTAGCGAGAAGTACAGGCTTGTGTTTTTCTCCATCTCTTGCTTGTGTCATCCCTCCCCACCCAGGCCTTTGTTCCTACGTGGGACTGGCTCGGCCTGGCTCACCCACACAGCTGCGTCTAATAGCTCTTGTACAGGGTATCAGATATTGTGCCTTTTGGTGCCAGGTTCAAAGTCAAGTGCCGATCTATGAACCAGTGTACAAAAAAAAAAAAAAAAAATCCAGGTGTTTGAAGGAGAGCCGCTCCATTGTGACCGGGAACACCAGCTCCTAAGCCCTGTTGCAGAGGTCTGGTCCTCTAATGCCTTGTTTCTATCTTAGTTTCTCTCAGAAGAGGTTGATAGACTAACCATTCCTGATAGCAGATAGGGTTGGGGCAGGGCTTAGGGAGGGGGCAGGAATATTGGGGAAAGAAAAATAATCTGATCATTCCTCAGTGCTACCCATTTCTGTCCTGTGTGGGCTGCTTAGCTAGACAGCAGCAGGAGAATAAAGAACACCGAGAACCGTAACGAAAGCAAAACCTCGCGTGTGCTTTGTCGTGTTTTGTTCCAGGGGAGCAGTTGATGCGAGCTGTTGTGCACGCTTTCTCCCAGCTCCTTCCCTGCTGGAGAGGAGGAGATGAGCTGGTTGGATTGTGGTCTTGGTGCCTTGTAGACATCTGCACTGGTTATGCGTTTAGTCCTCTTTGCTAGCTCCCTCCGGCTGGTGGGCTCGCCACAGCCTGGGTGTTTGTCCTTCGCCCTCGGCCCCACCCGCCGTGACTGGATGCGAAGCGCTCCCGTCCCTCCACCCTAGTCTCGGCACATTCCTTCCAGAATGTCCTTACCGTCTGCTTGGGAAGATGTCGGTGCAAATGTGAAGAAAATGGGCATCGGACTAGACTTCGGTTTGCCACGAGTGGCAGCTGCCGATACAGTTACACTTATTAATTTTGCTCTTCATTCTCTCTGGTTCCCTTCAGCCCCCCCTCTGTTGAACTGTTGACATTTTAGCTGTCAGAGGTGACTATAATACTGCCCTAGGGACTTGTGGAGAAAGGGCGGGGAATTGCTCAGTATAGTGTTTTAACTTTCAGAACCAAGCAGTCTATTTACTCTTCCTATTTAAGAAGCGTGTTAGTCCGACCTTAAGAGAAATCCAAACTCCATCAGCTTTCGATAGCGTCTTGGTTTTGGAAACATCTTCAATCTGTAATTGGCATTCAGAATGCCTTTGGCATGCCAGTCTGTGTGATGGCATTAAAGACCTGTTAAAACACTTGAGCCCGACTTTATTAACCAAAACTGATACCACCACCTTTATCTTCTAAATAAAGTCCGCTTTATTTTTATTTTCAACCTTTTGCTGCGGCTCTTCTTTGTTCCAGATGGTGTCACCTCTTGAGGTGCAGTGGAGGGTTGGGAAGGAGGCGGGGTGCGGTGGTGGGCGGGGAGCAGGGCTTGCACCTGGGAGGGATGGGCACGTGTCCCTGCTAGTGGCCAGGAGGTCTGGTCGGGATTTGCACCACAGCAGCACCTGCGGGGGCACCGGGGAGGCCGTGGTTTGGGCTTTTTTAGTGTACACTGGGCAAGCAAGCGAGGGCCACCTCAGTGGCCTGCCTGAGTGCCTTTGACCTTCCCACCGTAGCGGTCAGGGTGAGGTCGGGTCGCATTCTTGCTCATTGATAAGTAAGTTACGTGCTTGTACTACTACTGTACTACTTGGCTATACTACTTGTATAATCAAGACAAAGAAATTCAAAAGCAATTATATGAGTTAACTATAAATAGAAGTTCTAGTATTTTTCTGCCCAACTTTGGAGATGACTGGCTTAAGGAAGCAGCTTAGAATTCTGCATAAAATCCTGAGCAGCCGCAGCGATGGGCGTCAGTGCTCCAGGGACCCCGGAGCTATCCCGCCCCCAGCGCACGCTCCGCAGCAGTGCTCCAGCCACATGGCCTCAGCCGAGCCAGCGTGCCCCACTCGAGCGCGGGACAGCTTGCACACTGAGGTGTCAGGTCACCTCCACTGATGTTCTCAGGACAACCTAGGGGCCAGCAGCACCACTGTAGGAATGGCCACAAAGGAGGAGTCCCCGGGCGAGTCACAGATACCCCGCTCTGCCTGCTCCCGTGCCCCAAGCTTTGCACACATTTGCCTCGGGCTGATGCTGTGGGCACCGCAGCACTGCAAACGCGTCCCCGTGCCATGTGCCCAGGCTGTGCCGACTGTGCCAGCACTGTCTAGAAGCGGATTCTACACTCACCCGCTTTGTCTCTGGTTTTCCCAGTCCCACAGAGGCTCCCTGACTGGTGACCCTGGCTGTCTTACACCGTATGCCCAGCCCAGGGCCGCATACAGCGGGCGGTGGCCTCGGTGAGTCTGGGCTGAACTAACAGCGTGTCAGTACGGCTCAGAGTCTCCGCGGCGCTGTCCCTTGGTCTTGGGAGGGCCGGCACCCGGAAACCCGGGAACCGCAGGTGTCAGAGGAACCGGGCGAGCCGGGCCCGCAGCCCTTCCCCTCCGCTGGATGATGTCTGCGTGGCCTCTTAACCTTGGGTTAATTGGTGGAACGGGAAGAGAGTTAGTAATTAGCCATTATTTACGTGGAGGCCGTTTTATGTGCTCACCAGATGCCAGGCCCGAAATGCACACCTACAGGGTGATGAATGGAGTCTGCATTCACCTGATGCCAGGGGCGCTGTTTCCGTCCATTTTACAGATGGGGCAAGCATGCAGGCCGAAGGGCCTTACCCAGAGGCACACAGGCTGCCCCCACCGGCCCCCCAGGTGCGCCTGTGCCCCAGCTCAGTGAGCTTCCTTGTAAGTCTGTCATGAGCCTTTGGGCTGTGCCCACCTCCACATCAGGGATTGAACCAGGGCTTTTGAGTGAGCTGCATCCCCAGCCCCCCTGTGTATTTTGAGACAGGGTCTTGTGAAGTTGCCCAGGCTGAGCTCAAACTTGCAATCCTTCCGCCTCCCAGAGTGGTGGGATTACAGGTGAGTAGCACCACGCCTGGCTTGCCAAACAGCTCAGTGGAAGGAGGGAGGGAGGGCGTGTGTGTGTGTGTGTGTGTGTGTGTGTGTGTGAGAGAGAGAGAGAGAGAGAATGCTCACTGAAAGCCAACTTCCTCCTAACTGGAATTGGATCTAAACCATCTTCCTGTGCTGGCTTTTGGGGACCAGGCTGGGGGAAGGGTGGCTGGTGGCCAGAGAGGCCACAGGGCCGCTGAGTAAGCTCACAGCTGATTACCCTGGCCCGTCAGCAGATGCCCTGCTACACAGACAGGCCTGGGAGCCTGACAAGCAGTCCCTCTCCCAGGTGCCCCTTGCAATAAGTTCCCCGGCAGAAATAAGTTCCCCATGTGAAATGTCCTCTTGTCTGAAAGGAAAGTGTGCCTCAGCTCGGCAGCTGACCGGCTTGTGGCTGCAGAGGGACAGCCCGCCCCGCACCCTGACTGGGGAGAGCTCAGAAGTCTCCACTCAGACAAGCTCCCCAGAGCCAGGATTGGGACCTGCTTTTTCTAACCACATCCTTCACACGATTTTATTTTATTTTTTGTCTTTTTGAGACACGGTCTCACTATGCAGTTCCAGTTGGCCTTGAGCTCACTTTGTAGCCCAGGCTGGCCTCGAACTCACAACAAACGATCCTCCTGCCTCAGCGTCCCCACCATGCCCGGCTCAATTTTAGTCTTTCGAGTTTGACCTTGAAAATTCAGAAACTTTTCAGATTCTCAATTTCCCCATTTGTAGAATGGATCCCAGTGAAGGTAATGCGTACGGAGCTCTTGGCATGGGGCCTCAAACATGGACTGATTAACTGATCAATTAATAGGCAGCTACTTGTGTCAAGACACATACAAGGCACAGGGTACAACACTGAACTAGCCCTTTCCTATGGAGCTCTTATTCTGATGGATAATACGTAACAGGTATCCAATAATTCAATATTATACATATTTCCCCCCAGTACTGAGGAATGCACCCAGGACCATTACACTGAACTATGCCCTCAGCCCTTTTTAAATTTTTTTCTTTTGAGACAGGGTCTAAGGGCCAGGGATATAGCTCAGTGGCGTAAGCGCCTGCCTGGCAAGCTCAAGGTCCTGAGTTCCATTCCCAGTACCAAAAAAAAAAGAGACAGGGTCTCACAAAATCACTAAGTTGCCGAGGCTGGGCTTCAACTTGTGACCCTCCTGCCCAAGCCTTCCACAGTGCTGGGATTACAGCTGTGCACCACCACATCCGGCTCAGTACAGTTTGGTCAAGAAGTATGACTTGGGACTGAGAATGTAACTCAGTGGTGTTGCATATGATGCCACATGCCTGCCATCCCAGCACTGGGGAGGCTGAGGCAGGAGGATCGTTGCAAGTTCAAGGCCAGCCTGGACTGCATAGTGAGATCCTGTCTCAAAAAGACAAAAAAAAAAGTAAATGATAGAGTGCTTGCCTAGCATGTGTGAGCCCTGGGTCCAGTTGCTCGCACTGCAAAACACAAAAAGTAAAACTTGTTTTGGAGACAGAAGTGAACATGGTTGTGGAGAAAATGAAGCATATGTAGAGTATAAGGAAAAACAGACAACACCCCCTATTTCCTCCCAAATCCTGCTCACGCAATTAGAAGCTGTGCATGACCTCTGTGGGAACTTGGGGTGTTGCTGCAGGAGCGAGTCCCCCTCTATACTAACCTCCACTTGGGGCCTCCCAATGGGTCTCAGTGGCCCTGATTCTTAAGGCCTGGATCGGGGTGAGGTGGGGGTGATGGCACCAGATCCAGGTTGTCACATGCGTCCAATCAATGTCCCTGCCCACCGGAGGATTCTGTTTGAGTCATCCGGGTTTTATTTTGATTCAGTCTAATGCCACCTCCTCCTACTCTGCAGGCAAGAATGGCAGGAAAAACAAAGTCTCTCCACGGCAGGTCACGGCAGTGGGAGAGGCTCCCCGAGGGTTTCCATGAGGAAACTTGTCTCTCCTACTCGACAACAGTGGGCAGGGGCTCCCCTCTTCCTACCCTGGGGAGGCCAGCATCCCCCCAACTCTCCTACCCGAGCGCCGCCTCACTTCCCCTGACGATGCTTTCTACCTGCTTCCATCTCCACCATGATGAGCCTGGACACATACCAGGTCTCAGGTGGGTGTAGTAGCACACACCTGAAATCCCAGCACTCAGGAGGCTGAGACAAGAGAATCGCCTTGAGTTTGGGGCCAGCTGGAAACACATAGAGAGACCCTGTCTCAAATAAATAAATGTTTGGAGTCTTGGGATGAATTCATACCAGTGTCCAGTTTTCTCAGAGAGGGGAACCAACCATTCTCAAATTACGTGATTTCATTCCTTTATTCACTCAGCAAACACCCTTACCCTCCAGGACAATGACGGAAACCTTGCAGAGCTTTCAATCATAACAGCCAACTGCAGTACAGTGCCGTAGGGTCATCACCACTGCCCTAGGGTTTCCTTTAATGCCTGCTCATCAAGAGCCTTTCTTGGATGACTCTGAAACAGATCCTGCTCTCCTTATTTAATCTTATTCCTTTTTACCCTTTATCACAATATTTTTGGAGCTGTGTATTGAATCCAGGGCCTTTCCACTGAGCTACATCCCCACTCTTTTCCCTTTTTTTTTTTTTTTTTTTTTTTTTTTGTCTTTTTGAGACAGGGTCTCGCTATGTAGTTCAGGCTGGCCTTGAGCTCACATTGTAGCCCAGGCTGGTCTCGAATTCACAACGACCCTCCTGTCTCAGCCTCCCGAGTGCTGAGATTACAGGCATGTGCCACCACCCCCGGCTTTTTTGCCTTTTTGAGACAGGGTCTTGATATGCAGTTCAGGCTGGCCTTGAGCTCATTTTGTAGCCCAGGCTGGTCTCAAACTCGAAATGATCCTCCTGCCTCAGCCTCCCAAGTGCTGGGATTACAGGTGTGCACCACTATCCTTGTCTCTTTTTACATTTTTAAAATTTTGAAGCATTGTTTCACTAAGTCCTTAAGTCCCCAGGCTGGGCTCCAACTTTTGATCCTCCTACCTCAGCCTCCCAGAGTGCTGGGATTTCAGATGTGGGCTGCATCCCCAGACCTTTATTAGAATCTGCAATTGCCTTACTGCTTCAGAATCATATTCATTTTTCATTTTTCTGACTCTACCAGAATGTAAGCTCCATGTGGGCAAGGGAGACATCTGCATCCGTGAATCGCTAGCACCTGGCACAGCACAGATGTGGATGGGACACTTGGGGACACACAGTCAGAAGGACACAGGTGCAGCCCTCAGAGCAGTAGAACAGAGGCAGGGGGAGGGTTCTGAGGTTCTGCCCAGCACGGAGGAGGGAGCAAGGGCAGGTTTGGAGGGACCCAAGCCAGGCATAATCGCTTTGGGGCTTTTGCCACCGAGAACTCGGCATGGGCCACTGGCTGCACCCTGCCGGGCAACTGCCCTGGGCCTTCCTGTGAACAAGCAGGCAGCAATCAGGGCCGAGGACACCAGGACAGGGGCTTGGAGGTCCCCACCCAAGGCCTCTCTCAGCAAGGGAGGACTCACTGGGGGTCCACCCCGGAGACCCAGAGACAACCCCAGCAAACCTTGTCCCTCTGGCCCTGGCCTTCAGTCTGGTCTGGGCTCCTGTTTTGCCATTCAGAGAACCCTACCTTGACCTGGGGGCCCTCAGCGTGACTGATGCCCCCTGCACTCCAGCGGGTAGGCCGCTCACCAGAAACAGCTGGGGCAGTGAGTGCCTCAGCCACTACAGGGCGCACGCCAGCAGCAGCAGCAGGCAAAGGAAGCCAGGGCACCCCGCCCCTTGGAGAAAAGACTCCAGTCCAGGGGGCACCGCTAACTCCGGCCCAGTGTCCTTATAGAGGGGTACCCGGCACTGCCGGTGCTTCTCCGTGGTCACAAGCGCAAGAGCCCTCTCCGATGCACCCTAGGTCCAGAAGGGCCAGACAGGCAGGCTCCGCGGTCCCCAGCAGCTTCGCAGGCCGCGCCGAGCCCCTTCCCCAGCCTGTGCCCCGTGTGGGGCCCTCCAGTTCCATCAGGCCGGCCTGCTTCGCTGCGCTTTGCAGTCCGGGTGCATACGAGTCATTCACACCCGCTAGGCCTTTAGTTCTGACCTCCGCTCTCCCGGATGAGGGCAGCGGTCACCGGCATCTCCAGGCTAAGTCGAGGGGCAGGAACGTGCCCAAGGTCACACAGCCGCAAAGTGGCAAAAACTTGGGTCTCCTGCTCAGTAGTGTGGCAGGTGCTGGGATAATTTTTGAGGAAAGGGTGAAATGTGCTGTTTGCTCATTTCTCTGGCCTGTGCAAGCTTGTGCGTGATTGCGGGGGCGTGGGGGGCGGTCCTGTTCCCTAATTGAACATCTGACCTCTTCACTCTCCCTTTCCAAGTTACAAATCTCTGCTTTCTCCTCTGTACCCCTGGTCAGTGTAGGATCGCAGCAGTGCCCCCTGCTCTGAGCTCAGACTGGGGAGGTCTAACAAGCAAAGAGAAAAAATAAGAATAATAAAAACAAATACAAATCAACTCATCGCCCCGTCCCTCCTCGGAGGCACAGCCGAGGCCGAAGGCGCAGACGCCCCCGCGCCCCGCGCCGCCCCGGCAGCGCCCCCGCGCCA